TCATTAACTTGATATTTTCGTGAATTGTGCAAACACAAACGGAGTGTGTTCCAGAAGCCCCAGCGAGTATGCAATTTCTAGGTCTAAGTTTAGCAAATGTACTAAAGCTAACATCATATTTTGGGTTAGATTCTTTAAATGAGACATACAGTTCTTTTAAATTTAACAACAAAAGACGTTTCTGCACCATTGTCCGTTTACCGTCAATTATTAAGGAAATGGCATCCTTCATTCCAGGCATTTTCCTGCTGTTTATGTCACTATTGTAAAACTCGATTATTTTGGTTACAGTAGTTTGCGGTAAAACTTTCCCAACTCTTGTAGTAGTATCAGCTAACACGCCGTGGTTAGACTTCAGTTCCTTCGATTTTTTTGCTAAAAATCGTGATGCACCAAACTCTTGTGCTATCTTTCTTACACTCCAAGACGACGGAGCTATGGTGAGAATTCGCACCCTTAAAGGATCACTGTGTTTCAAGCTGAAAAATTTTTGTTTAAGACCATCAAGCATTTCTTCCAGTTCAATTTCTCTAGGTGATCGAAGGTTATTTTCACCATCGTGAGCAATCTTTGAATTATCAATATCCATTGCTAATGAACTTCCATCAAATTCCATGTTTGTGATACAATCATTAGATTCATCTAAAGACATATCAGCATTTTCTAATTTAATCCTACCTTTTTTCCTACATCCAGAACAAATTTTAGAATTGGTCGGTATATCAGGAAATTTGTCTAATATGAACTTTGGTATCACTCGTAAATCTTTACCAAGATGTCCCTTTTCACCAGGTTTCCTGAACGGATTCACACATCTATCTGTATGAAATGTAGCCGACATTTTTTTATGTTTGATATGAGATAAGGAATAATTGGGATAATTGTAGAAGGAATACAATTCGGTTATAAAAAAAAGACAAAAATGTGAGTTAAATATTTTTGTAATTAAACATAAAGAAACTTATCAATTATTAGCTAAGTTGTAAACTATAGTTAATTAACTCAATGAATTCTGTGACTAATAAATGTATTGTGATATTCTAATCCAAGACAAGACTGAGAAATATTTATTATATACACTGGATCCTCGAGATACTGTCCCTCGCGCGTGTGAATTTTTCCTAAGTGTCGACTCAGGCACTAAGCCACGCCCGCGGAGCGTGCGCAGAAACAATAACTTACTTCCGTAGTAATACGTCACCTCGCGGCCTCACTGCACGTAAACTTGGCCCGAAATATGTCTTTCAATGACAATTAGGCGAAGCGATACGTGTTGACGGTCCTGAGCTGAGCGGGAGAAAGGGTTCCCTCGTATGAGTGCCTAGAGTGCCCGAACGATACATTTTCTCGAGGGTCCAGTGTAATATTTAACTTTAGTTCTGTAATTCTAGTTATATCTCAGAAACGAATAATGATACCAAAACGAAGCATAAGGCATTTTGAAGCTAAAAGTTGGCACTTTCGCATGGCATTAATGAAATTAAGGAAAACAATTTGCTGCCGTGCTACAACGTCACGAAAACCATAAAAAAAGGCGTTTCTACAACTTTGATGCCATTTTTCTCAAAATTGTGACATGCTAGCCGAATGTGGACAACGGATTCATGTTCAGCAGTCAAAAATACATCGAAAATGACTATTCGTACTCATATAACCGACAAAATTTAAAATTTGTTGCCTAATATTATCGTGCTTTTAATGGCTTTTTCCATTCTAATCGTGATTCTGAGTCCGCCATTTTGAATTTTCAAAAACGCCATACGGCATTGAAAAATAGACACTTCAACGAAAATTTTAAGCTCTTTTAGAGCATTTTATCTCAAAAATTGAAGTGGGCAGGGGGGGTGGCCTTTTTGACAGAGAACGTCTCATATATATACAGGGTGCTTCCGCAACATACAGATCCGTAAGTCGGGTTGCCTATCTGACGATCGATCTTCTTTTACCGACCTCGCATAATTGAAAAATAATAAAATCAGAGGATCGATGTAATTTTTTTCGTGAAAAGTGAAAAAATTCCTTGATACCTTGAATGCAAATTCGTAGGGAATGAGGAAAGTGAAATCAGCTTTTAACATTGATATAGTGTAATTGTAATATTTAATAACATAAATAACATTATATTTAATAACATAAATAACTTAAATAACATTAATAACATGAATAACTTAAATAACATTAATAACATGACAAATGACACAATTGAAATATAATAACATAGATAAAATATAATGAATTTAAACAAAAAACTATTTTTTAATAGTTATAATATATGCTCAATGTAACCGCCATTCTCTTCTAAACATAAAGCAATCCTCCGCATAAAATTTTTCCTTACTCTCCGAATTATCGGAGGAGTGATTTCCGCACACGCCTTTCGAATTTTATTTTTAAGATCTTCTTTATATAATGTTATTTATGTTATTAAATATTACAATTACACTATATCAATGTTAAAAGCTGATTTCACTTTCCTCATTCCCTACGAATTTGCATTCAAGGTATCAAGGAATTTTTTCATTTTTCACGAAAAAAAATTACATCGATTTTATTATTTTTCAATTATGCGAGGTCGGTAAAAGAAGATCGATCGTCAGATAGGCAACCCTACTTACGGATCTGTATGTTGCGGAAGCACCCTGTATATATATACAGGGTGACCCATTTTAACTTAGGCAGCCAAATAACTCGAAAAATAAGCACACTACGAAAAAATGGTTAGAATCAAAATTTCGTCATTTCGAGGGGGACATACAATGACGTTAAAATCAGCCCCCCCACCCCTCCCCCTGGGCGGTGAGGGGGAGCAAGTTTGAAATCTTAAATGGAACCCCCTATTTTTCATTGCATAATCTTGTAGCTTATCTCGAGAGCTTTCCAAAACACTATAATTAAGTACCTTCTTATTAAGTACTTTTTGAGTAATAAGGCTTGAAATAATTTCTTAATTTTACATAAACCATAAAATATCTAGTAAACCATTCATTTTTCGATTATCTTACCTTCATACTTTTATGTACAAAATAATGAGAGGAATCAATTGGTGTAAAGAAAACATACAGTTGTTTTTAAGAAAAAATATGGAATTGTTAATTGCAAATTACATATTTTTTCTTAGAAACAACTATGTGTTTTCTTTACACCAATTGATTCCTCTCATTATTTTGTACATAAAAGTATGAAGGTAAGATAATCGAAAAATGAATGGTTTACTAGATATTTTATGGTTTATGTAAAATTGAGAAATTATTTCAAGCCTTATAACTCAAAAAGTACTTAATAAAAAGTTACTTAATTATAGTGTTTTGGAAAGCTCTCGAGATAAGCTACAAGATTATGCAATGAAAAATAGGGGGTTCCATTTAAGATTTCAAACTTGCCCCCCCTCACCGCCCAGGGGGAGGGGTGGGGGGGCTGATTTTAACGTCATTGTACGTCCCCCTCGAAATGACGAAATTTTGATTCTAACCATTTTTTCGTAGTGTGCTTATTTTTCGAGTTATTTGGCTGCCTAAGTTAAAATGGGTCACCCTGTATACTGTATATATATATATATATATATATATATATATATATATATATATACAGGGTGTCGTTTTAAGTGATGCAGCTGAATGTCTCTTAAAGTAAAAGAGATATATAATATATAAATGGGGAAAGAGATTGGGAAAAATGTTTCAGATAATAGTTGTATAGTTTCGAGGGAAACATAAGACGGTGCCTTGAATTTGACCTTGAAGAGTCAGCTGAAAGTCACGTGAAGATCGCCTCCAATTTTGTGATTGGGACACCCTATATACTTTTGCACATTTTTGTAGCTCATCTCGAGAGATTTCCAAAACATTATAATTAAGTTAATTTTCATTAAGTGCTTTCCGAGTTAGAAGGCTTGAAATAATTTCTTAATTTTATATAAACTGTAAAATATGTAAAATATTCATCTTGTAAAATATTCTTGTAAAATATTCATTTTTTGATTATCTTATCTCAATACTTTTATGTACAAAATAATGTGAAGTATCAATTGATGTAAAGAAAACACATAATTATTTTGAAAAAAAATAATGTAATTTCCAATTAACAATTACAGGTTTTTTCTTAAAAATAACTTTCCATTTACTCTTTCGAACATTCCATCTCCCGTAGCGATGTAATGACACGTTTTCGACCCCAGATTCATTTGCAAAAAATGATTCTTATGGTGCCCCCGACAATCTCTGAAAATTTGTCGGTTGAATTTCCGAACACCCTGTATATACAGGATGTCACTTAATTGGCGCCCACTATTTATATAGCGATATTCTTCGTGGAAAACTGAGTCGAAAAGTCCTGAACCATTTTTTCTTATAATGTTTAATAAAGTGGTAATTATTGAGTAAAGTTGCGTCAATAAGCACCGATCTTTAGCCTCCTCGACGAAATTTTCTTTAAGGAAACGCTTTTAACAGAAGATATATGATTTTTAATGCAAAATACAGTTTTTTTACATTATTACAATCTATAAGAATATTGTATAACGGCACAGCGCCGAAACGGCGAAGTGCTCACGCACACTACCAGGCACGCGGCTCACTGATGTGCGCCCGTCTAAAGGTCGGTGCTTATTGGCGCAACTTTACTTAATAATTACTACTTTATTATGCATTATAGAAAAAAATGGTTCAAGACTTTTCGACTCAGTTTTCCACAAAATATTGCTATATATATAATGGACGCCAATTAAGTGACACTCTGTATATATAATATTTCAATAGAAATAAAATGTGTCAAAATAAAATTAATCTAGAGATTATGATATCAAATATTTAATAAATTTTTAATGTTTATTGAAAAATAACTATTTTTTCTCTTTTAGTTTATTATAAATTTCAAAAATCTTGAGTCAATTAATTTTTTTTTCCTATAATGCAATATATAAATTATTAAATATTAAATTTTTCGCATATTTAATTTATATATTATTTGTTTTAGATATTTAATATATATATTATTTGTTTTAGAATCTTGACATAAATCAACCATTACCATCAGCTTCTTCGGGAACAACTCCTTTGATGATTGCTACGAAAATGCATAAACCTAACAAATCCTATAATGACATGGAAGATAGTGAGGAAGGAAAGAAAGATATGTTAGACATTCGAACGCTTCGCGAAAAAAGTCGCAATTTAGATTTACCATTAATTTCTGCACTGTGCAACGATCAATACTTGCTGAAGCAAACAAAAGCCTTTGTCTTGCCAAAGCATCTTAGCGAAACCTCTAACGCAACATCTATGAAAAATAGCATTCGGAGCAGCAGTGGAGCGATTTCTAACAGAAACAAATATCCAGTGAGCGGATTATCAACGACACAAATTCAAAAGTCACTTAAGAAGTCCTCAACAAATACTCATAAGCATCCTTCTGAAATAAAGAATAATTCTTTTAAAGTTAACACTTCCATTACAGAGATTTCAACCAATAAGAAAAACTTCACATCTCACTCTTAACATTCATTTTTGATATTTCTTTTTTCATTTATAGAATTTTTCATAATTTTGAATAAAAATATATTTTTTCATAATTCCGATATCATCATATGTTATTGTTTCATCAACGTAATTAGTAAAACATACAAAAAATATGCAACAAATTAAATAGCATAGTTTAATAACCGTATTTCTTCGACACAGAGTGCCATTTTATCTATTTGCCGTATATTTTTGTTCGCGAAATTTTTAAATTAAAACGATAGAGAATTTCAAATAATTGTAAATTGCTCATCACTAGTAAATGAAATATTTTAATCATCTGCATTCTTCACTTTCATAGAACTGATTGTTATAAATTATATTTTTGTACGAAATGCTTTTTTATTTAAAATATGTTAAATAGTTGAACTATGGCATTAAGACTTCAAACGTTTATGATATTTTGCTCAATTATACGACTGGTACAGATATATATGAAAATTCAATTAATAAGTTCCGATAAAGGCGGCACTAGTCCCGCTTATTGTTAAAATAAACTATAAAATTTATTGGCCATTATATGTGATAATCATATTATATGAGAGATTAATAGTTGATTACTTGAAAAAGTTAATATGAACTTATGTGTTTCAATTAAAAGATTTCTCTCTCTCTTCCCTTTCCTTTCCTTTCCCTTTCCCTCCCTCTCTCTCTCTCTTTCTCTCTCTCTTTATATACAGAGTGACAGTTAAAATGTTACAAGTCACTATTTTTTAAATTACGTATTATAGGAAAAATATTTTAAATAAAAGTTTCGTTTGAAAAGGGAAAAAGATACAGATATTAGTTTGAAGGTAGGTGAATAGTTTATGAGATATTTTATATAGTTTATGTAAAACTATGTCAATTTAAAATATAAAATATCTCGTAAACTACAATATATACAGAGTATCTCATAAAAATTGTTCCAGCGCTTGTAAGCGCGTAGAGCACAGTAAATTGAACAGAAAAGTGAAAATTAGATTTTGTTTTTTTTTTTTATATTAGTTTCTGCTTTATTTTTTTTAACATCTACTATTTTATTTTATTCGCTTTTTTATTCTAAAATTCAACTCCTCCTAACTTGAAACTTATGTCATATAGCATAATAATGTAATTTATTTTCTTTCTGAAGACTATGGATTTTACGAAAATAAAAGAAATAAAAGTTTCTAAAGGAATTTCACAAGTTATCTAACGTATATTGTTAAATAACCATATTTTGGTGCGTCAAAAAATTCTAATAAAAAATCGAATACTTGTTAGCTTCATCCCTTTACAACGATATGGGAAGATTAAAAAATATTAATAAGTCTCCTTTTTAATAATAGGAAACATCTCTATCAAATTTTATTTTTTTAGCTTGTTCAAATTTTGAGAAAAAAGTAAAAATCTAATTTTTATTTTCCCTTTGAAGAGAAGTGTAACTCCTCAGAGAGAGATATATAAGATATATATTTATATAAAAAAAAACACCTCTTTATTTTCGAGAAAGAATTATCTCCTAAAATTTCGTATTTATTTAGAAACATCCATTACGTCACTACGGGGAGTATCAGGGGAAATTTTTTGATCTAATGACATTAAGGCCTAATCTAATCCTACTCGTTTTTCCTACTATTGCTACTACTACTTCTATACTAGAAACACTCTACACACGCGCGCGCACACACATGCACCCTCGCACGCACGCACGCACGTACGCATACACATATATACAGGGTGTCCTAGCTATCGTATTCCAAAGAAAAACTTTAAGTAGATCCCACTAAACTGAATTAAAAAGTTTTATATTATTTTGCAAACAATCACGTAAGATTTCGAGATATTAATTAAAAAAGATCCGCCAATATGTGTGATTGAAAGCGCGCAGCGAAAAAAGCCGTCCCATTGTAACTTGATTCTAAGCGTGCGGTGAAGGAGTGGGCAAGGCTTGATGCTTACTTATTAACGTACCGCTAAAGCACCGCACGCCGCTATCATGTTTTGGAGAGCGCCCCACGAGTGAGATCTCTCTATGGTATTTTTCTTTAGCACACGATAGCTGGGACACCCTGTACATACAGGATTTTACAACAGGTAAGACAAAATTTAAGAAATGATTCTTCATGATAAAATAAGAAGAAAATCAAGACATAAGAAAATTTTAAAGCTTTCTTTTTATCTAGAAGCTTTTTTTTTAGTTACAATAATTTGAAAATTCGCATAAAAAGCGTCCCAAGCATGGCGATTCGCCAATCTCGAGCGTTATATCGATAGAGTCGTTGTCAAAATACACCGTGATATATAAGTATGGAAACATGCTTCATAGCAGTTGATGTAAAATTTACGGATATAAAATCTATTTGATGCGGTAATATTTTTCTCTATACAAGCCTATGTGAATTTATAATTAAAAAAAGGAAGCCTTTAACGAAATATTCTTAATCTTGATTTTCGTTTTACATTTAATCCTAAATATACATACATAACGACCGAATACTTACACACACACACACACACACACACACACACACACACACACACACACACACACACACGCACACGCACACGCGCACGCGCACGCGCACGCGCACGCACACACACACACACACACACACACACACACACAGAGTGTCCTAAAAGTCCTTGACCGGTCGAATATTTCATAAACTATGCACTTTAGAAAGAAATGTTCCGGACAAAAGTTGTATGGGGCTTGAAGGAGGCCATCAGATAGTGGCAATGATTTGACATGGGAGAATTATTTGAAAGTCACGTGAAGATCACCGTTAATTTCTTAAATGGAACTCCCTACTTTTTATTACATATTCGTGTAGTTTATTTCGACAGCTTTCCAAAACACTATAATAAAGTATATCTTCATTGAGTACTTTCCGAGTTATGAGGCTTAAAATCATTTCTTAATTTTACGTAAACCATAAAATATCTTGTAAAATATTCATTTTCCGATTATCTTACCTTAATAATTTTATGTACAAAATAATGAGAGGAATCAATTGGTGCAAAGAAGAAACATAGTTGTTTTTAAAAAAAAATACGTAATTTGCAATTAACAATTACATATTTTTTTTAAAACAACTATGTACTTTCTTTACACCAATTGATTCCCCTCATTATTTTGTACATAAAAATATTAAGATAAGATAATCGAAAAATAAATATTTTACTAGATATTTTATGGTTTATGCAAAATTAAGAAATGATTTCAAGCTTCATACCTCGAAAAGTACTCAATGAAGAAATACTTTATTGTAGTGTTTTGAAAAGCTCTCGAGATAAACTACACGAATATGTAATAAAAAATAGGGAGTTCTATTTAAGAAATTGAAGGATTTTTACGTCACCTTCGAATGATTCCCCAAGATCAAATCATTGCCACTATCTGATGGCCCCCTTCAGGCCATACAACTTTTGTCTGAAACATTTCTTTCTAAAGTGCATACTTTATGAAATATTCGACAGGTTCGTGACTTTTGGGACACTCAGTATATACAGGGTGTCCCATTTTAAGTGTCTATCCCAAATATCTCTCATTTTTTATTTTAGAAAAGAATGGTTCAGACATGTTTTATATGGTTTATATTTTGAGGGAGTCATAAGATGGTATCATTGATTTGACCTTGAAGAGTCATTTGAAGGTCACGTGAAGGTTACCTCAATTTTTTAAATTGCACCCCTTATTTTGTATTATATATTCTTGTAGCTGACCTCGAGAGCATTCCAAAACACGATAATCAAATGTTTTTTCGTGAAGTACTTTTTGAGTTATAAAGTTCCAAATTTATATAATTTTGATAAAAATACAAAATATTTCGTAAAGCATTCACTTTCCGATAGTCTTATCTTACATGATCCAGCCAGTCAAGGCAAGATCCGAGCATGATCCAGCCAGTCAAGGCAAGATCCGAGCATGATCCAGCTAGTCAAGGCGAGATTCTGTATTGCCTGATAATCAATGAATTGTAACAATTGTGCAATTGTCAATTCTTCCAACGAAATATCAAGAGGCTTGTTTCAAATTTCTTACTTGAGCAACTTTCGGTATTTTGGCGAAGTCTTAGACAGACGCATATTATTATCCATTGATTTTTTTTGATAAGACAAGAATTTTTGGTATTTTGGCGCTTTTTGTCTTTATAATTATGGCTGCTTATCCACCAAATGAAATTGTGAACATGATTCGCATTTTGGGTGAGGGAATAATTACTCGGCAGCAAAAAGGCTTTATGCTGAAAGATTTCCAGACAGACGCCATCCTGATAGGAAAGTAATAAAAAGACTCTGCGACGGAGCTGAACAGAATTTTCTTAGAAGAAACCGGCGAAAATCGGGTACTGATGAAGTCACATCATTGACTGTTATAGGTGCCGTTGCTTTGAATCCTCAAATCTCTACGAGACAAATTGAGAGGTAATAAGGTATATTTAAATCAACAGCCAATCGTGTGCTCAAGCTCAACAAGTTTCACCCATATCACATTCATCTAACTCAGCAGGAAGAGAGGGACTGCCAACGCTGTGTATGTTTTTGTAACTGGGCTCGAAATCAAATCCAACAAAATCCCCGGTTCATTGCTGATACGCTTTTTTCTGATGAAGCCACGTTTTGTAATAGAAGAGGCGTTAATAGACATAACTGCCATTATTATTCAGATGCTAATCCATATTGGCAGAGAAGCCAAGAATTCCAACGGCAGTGGTCCATTAACGTTTGGGCAGGCATTCTGGGAGATGTTATTGTTGGTCCATATTTTTGTGAAGAAAGTCTCAATGCGGCAATCTATCTAAAATTTCTTCAAGATGACCTGTCCAACCTCTTGAGACATGTCGACAATGATTTACTCAGACGAATGTGATTCCAACAAAATGGAGCACCAGTTCATAGATTTCGAGCCGCTACACAATATTTAAACAATAGATTCCCGAATAGATGGATTGGTATGGACAGCCGAGTTCAAGAATGGCCCTTAAGATCAGCCCTTAAGACCCGACTTGACG